CAACAACAGGGCAGGCCAGCAAGTAAGTATGAACATATAGATGCTTGACGCTAGTAATGATTGTGATTCCTAAACAAAATAAATTTTGGTTCATGACAAAATGTCCAACAAACATTAAGGTACATTATGACACCATGATGGTGTCTGGTACAAATACATTGTTTCTCAAAACGCTATTAGTGTCATATTTAACTTGAGATAGCGCCTTTGTTTCTCCATTGGTGATTTTTATCCACTATTGGACTATCTGCAACCGGTGAATATGTAAACTAATATAAATATTTTGAAGCAATACAAACAGTCAGTCAGCTGTAGAAATCTTATTGTTCTTTTTTGGATTCATGGCATTATTAATTTCATTAATTATAATTATACTTTTTAATGTTGAACCCTAATCGTATTTTTCATAAATATATGTTTATTTTAAAATTTATTCAACTCTTTATATTTTTATAGAATCACAGAGAGGTATGTATTTCACTTGTCCTTTGAGAAAATGCTATGGGAGTTTTATTTTCTAAGAAACAAGGAAATTACCAAGCAAACTAAAAAATATTGTATTTACCAAGCGTTTTGGGTGCCAAGATATAGATGCATAACGCTAGTAGTGTTGGGACAGCTGGATCACAATGACCTGAGTTATTACTCACTGACTGTTGACAACATGGCAACAAAGACCCCCTTATAAATGTATATTGCCTAAGAAAACCATTTACTCTGGTTCCACGTAGCCTAACTATGAACAACACCAACGAACACAGTTCTATACATAACCCGAAAAATTATGCTTTAATGAATGTTTTAAATATTTGATTTGATGCTTCAGCTGCTTCAGAAGAACTGTATTTCTCGAGCAAAATAAAAATATGTCTTGCTTGCTAAATAAATGAATGTTAAATCCAAATTCGAAAATATTTATAATTATTTTGTATTGCTTAACAAAATACGGGAATTGGTTCATATTCTTTTCATTCTTAGATTTCACATCTTGTTTTGAAGAGTGCATTATATTTTTTGTTTGTAAAAATACTAAGGAGAACCGACGGTTATGAGGGTATTTGATCAAATGTATTAAAACAAAATTATTAAAAAAACGGATAAGCAATGACATGTTGTATTTGGCCAGTTGTACATAATGTCTGTCCTAATATACGACAGACATATCTGAGGTGTGTGAGTACCATTCACATCTCCCTTATACAATGCGTATATAGTCATTGTTGCATACTTTTTTTTCAGATAAACAGAAAACAGATGCAAGTGGTTCAGATGAACCGCTAACAGGTAGAGATAAGTATGAACATGTAGAGATATGACGGTAGTAGTGTAAGACACCCTATGCAAAAAAAAAAATAAATAAATAAATAAAAAAAAAATAAAAATAAAAAAAAAAATAATAATAATAATAATAAATAAGTTAACCAGAAAATGTCCAATCAACATTAAGGTATCTTAAAGCACCAAAATATTATGCTCAAAACATTAAAATTGGCGTTTTTCATTCTGAGATAGCGTCTTTGTTTCTCAATATGATGTTATATGCAACTAGTATATATGTAAACCAATATGATTTTGGGGCATATAAAAATAGTGAGTCATCGGTAGCAATCTTATTGTACTTTCTGTGGAGTCCAGGCATTATTAATTGACTTATAGAGTGATTTAAAGATCAATCTGCAACTAGGGAATCTTTCATCTGATATAACTGTTTTGGAGCATAGAAAATTGGCCAGTCAGTGGTTCTAAGCTTGATCGAAATGTACTTTTCGTCGTGTCATGGCATTGTATAATGCTTTTAATGTTGAATCTTAACCACGGTTACCTTCTAGTATTTTGCTTTCAAAATTATTATCCAATATTGTCTTTTCTCGTTCTGTAAACAAATAGCCAAACTGAAATAGAACCTCACAGAGGTTGATATTTTTCATGTTTTCCGATAGAGATTATGTTGTCTAACAAATGAGGAATTCCCCAAACTCAAAATTATTTTAATTATTAAGCATGTTTCAGTTGAGTTCCAGATAACAAATGCAGCTTGTACATGTATTATTATATAATAAGCATCCAAAAAGATATGCGTCTTCGTACCTGACCCTAGCATCAGTTATATGTTGTGTTAGGCCAGTTGTAATATCTGCCCTAATATACAGTTGATATGATAAAGCTATGTGGATACCAGCTTCATTTCCTTAACACCTTGATAGAAAGTAATAATTGTTAATTTTTACTTCAGTTGCTCTGCAGAATACTGAGCCCCATGAAGGTAAGTAGGAAGATATAGAGACCACCCCCAGACCCTATCGTACTAACTGTGGATTGATCTATCTCCAAGGGAATTCTCGCTAAATCAAAATCAACTTAAGCGGCCTAGATATCTGTCACGTCTAATGAAGCTGTTATAGGATAATTATTCATCGTTTAGCAGTTTCAGTAAGTGTGCTAGACATCTAAGCAGCTTAAACTGAAAGCAATTTAACGAGAAACCCCTTGGAGATTGAACAATCCTGTTAGATCGATCTAGGTATGGGAACCCAGTCATAGATATACATGACGCAAGTAATATTGAAAAACCCCAAACAAAAACAAAATAGGCAAATTAAAACATTTCCATAATATTTCTATTGACAACAAAACGTTTTCTGAAAAATGTACTTGTACTATGTTGATACATAACGCTATTGGTGGTATTTTTTAACTTGAGACAGTATTTATCTCTGTTGATGATTTATATCTACTATGATACTTTTTGGGCATGGCTATCTACTGGTAGTCTGCAGAAGACACGTCATTATCGTCTTTGTAATACCATTATCTTTCTAATTCTATAAGTAATTTTGAACTCGATTTAAAGTCAATCTGCAAACGGGAAATAAATAAACCAACATAATACTTTCAGAACATATAAAATCGGCCATTCAGCGGTATCAAAATCTTATTGTAACTTCCTTGAAGTCATTTCACTTTTAACGTAAAACCATTTCTTTCGAAATAAGTGTCCATTTATGTTTTTCTCGTATTCTGAATCATGATTTTTTTTCTGTACATTAAGCAAATTTCCAGACTGAAAAAAAAAATCACACAGATGTGGATATTTTTCATGTTTTTTCAAAGAGATCGCTTTAGGAAATTCTGGTATCTAAGAAACGATGAACTGAGTAACCGGAACCCTCTAGATAAGACCTGTTCATTTCAGTTTCAACTGTGTTAAATGATGTATGATGATTATTTTAAACAAGCTTAAGATTCTAGGACAGTCCTGCCCCCCCCCCCCCCGACAATTCTCCCAGGACAATTCGACCCGGACAATTCACCCCCCCCCCTCCCCCGAGATATAGATATACATGTATGTGTACCAATATAAAGTAAATATGACGCGAAAGGGCTTTACAGATAAGTTAAAATTCAGGAAAAGCATAAGTTGTATACTGGATCTCGGTTTTATTTCACGTACGAATTCGCAAGGCACGTAATACCATTCCTGCATTTCCTTTAATTATAAAATTTAAGTAGCCAAAGTGAAAATAACTGATCAAAAAGAAAGAGTATGCAATGTGTTAATTCTACGAAGGCATTGTTTTGTATGGAATTAAGTACAAACTCACGGGGTACCACACTTAATGGAAATTTATCGTTTCTGCAAATAAATGTCCGTTGATTTAGACGAGTTCAAAACATTTCGTCGGGTAGTGGTCAAGCAGTTAAATGTGACAGATAATCAAAGGGATACATAGATAGGCGAGAATCTGTTTACCCAACCCAGCAAGGGGGGGGGGGGGGGGTATTGAAGCAATTGAAAGTAACAGTTAATTCATCAAAGGGTTACCTGAGAGTGAGATCATCTGTTTACCCCACCTTAACCTGGAGATATACTTTGATCAAATTTTAATTGAATTGTCTGTACTTTCATTTCTAAAACATACTCCATGAAAATAATTGCATCATCACACTTGGAAATATTAATAAAATAAATGTCACATTACCAGGGCAACCATGTACTGTAGTTCCTGCATTTCAAGAAATGTATTTATATAGCAAAATGAATTACTTGCTGAACCAAAAAATTAAATCCAATTAAAAACGTGTCCCAATTTTAGGTTTTACATCTTGTGTCGAACAGTATATTATTTTATTAAAAATGGTACATTGTTTTGTTATATATTGTGTTTATCAAAATGCTAAGAAGAGGATGTAAGGCCATACGTGTTATTTAATAACATAGAACAAAATTATGAAAAAAATGTATTTCTTTTTTTTTAACCAGGCAGTGATCATGCCACATATGCATACATGAAACAAAATGAAAAAGCGGAAGGTGAGTGCCCTTAAATATTTTTAAGAAAGAAGCTTGGTAAAAAAAGATGTACGTATTATTAGTAGTTGTAGTAGTAGTATTTGCTTCACTTAAAGAGATAATAATTGTTCGTCAAGCAAATATTGTTTTTGTCTTAAATATTAAAGGATGATTTGATTAGAATAAATCAGCAATGCATTACCAGAATGAAACAAAGCTCTGATGATAAATTAAGCTTAGACGCCATGTTTGCCCATGAGAGAACCAGCCCGGAGTGACGAGTTGGGTAACAGTCCACTTCAACTTAATGTGTTGTATGAGTTCACATTAAACAGTTATTCATGAGTTAAACAAGAGTCCCAAATACCTTTAAAAAACAGGGTTACAGGCCATGGCACATATTGCTTCTCTTCAGCTTCATTTTCAGCTTAGTAGAATGATGGTACTTTGTGCGTATATCAAACAATCATTGATATGAATTCGGCAAAAGTGTTTATTGGATAAGTAGTTGGATCATATATGACGAAAAAATACATTCTAGTGCAAAATAGATGGCCACTGGAAAAATTGGCCATTTAAATTTACTTTTTATTACAATTTTCAAATCAACCCAGTATATGTAAATTAAAAATTATATTGAATAGATTTGTTTATGACACCGTATTTGTCATATAACAGGTTATATCTACACCGATTTGAATATATCACAGTACTTATAAGAGTATAACAATAACCCCATAAGGACCGTTACCCCACCGGTGCGGTAAATATCCCATATATATATATATATATATATATATATATATATATATATATATATATATATATATATATATATATCGCAAAGGCCCAATACCGCACCAGTGAGTATCTTGGAAAGAGCGGTTTCTATACTGTTTTTTATCGTGAGTCACGAAATAGTATGTAGTTTAACATCCGAGTATGTTTTATGTCTGTCATTGGCGCCATTTGCAAAGGACGATGAAAATATACATGAGCGAGAAAACGGCGATTTTCTAGACTTAGCTGGAGAAAGTTAGATCAAGAAGAGCAGCGCCTCGCTGCGGTAGGGGCCTACGAATGGATACTGTTGAAATGATGGGAAACTTCAAATAAATAGGGATTTGGTTTAGGTAATATTACACATACCTGTATGTATTTTTCTTATAGTTGGTCAAACGCATCAACATGGGGTAAATCTGGTGATTCCTCCATCTCCTTGTCACATTTCCCTATTTGGGCTGCAACTGGTTGCAAAATGCGTTCTGGTGCAAAACGTCGCTCTACAACACAAAAAGCCAACTGTTAAAGATTTACTGTGCAGAGAACAATATCTACTAGATAACCAGGTTACATGTTTAAAGGCCTTTTTAGTCTTACAGTGTACACACGGGTTCCATACAAAACTGAACGGGTCGTCTAAAACTACCCCCCTCCCTCGGAAATTAGTTGGCCACATAAAACAGCTTGTCAGTTTGTTAATTACAAGGGTCTTATATTATTGAACTGCGCGACTAGGTTATTTGAAGTAACCTCTCAACTCCGCTGCTATCAGCAATAAGCAACTAATGCTGATGTTGTCAGTTAGTTGTTGTGTGTGATTTCTTTCGTGTTAGACATATTTAATCAATGAATGTATAAAAAGTTTTTTAGAACCTGAATCATTTAATTTGTCAATATGTCTTTTGCAGTGTTGTGGTTAAAATTGGTCATTAAAATGCAGGAAAGCAATTCGATATTGAAGTTTCTTTCCAGTCGTTACCCCCTTTTTAAGTTCAGTATTGTTGTTTAGTCCGTACAGTGCCAAATGTAATAGTTGTTTGTCTCATTTTGTTGTTGAGAATATGTTCATTTTTTCAAATCGTAATTATGCCAGATTTATAAATTTATACTATTCAGATGTTGTTTTTATCGGCCGTTAGAGTTTCGATACCAGTGATCATTGGCGAAAAGTTGTTGCAATTACTTTCACGGGATCATTAAAACAAAGAAAACAAACCCAAATATCAAAAGCCTGTTTGAAAAACGGTTAACAACCGTATGTTTACATCATTTTAGCTAACACTAGTTTATTTCATCCTACTTCTTCATACATTAATGGTTGCTGGATAAATTTCTTTAGAACTTCTGCTTCAATTTTGAGGTATGGCATTTCTATAAAACCGGACCCACTCCACCTTGAATACTTGCTACGCAACTGGAATTGTAACCAACTTTTTTGGTCAAATAAGTTGTCCCACCTCGTATTCCATGTGCTTTATTCACAAATGATCACCAGAAAGGTGCAATTTGTTTAAAAAAATGCACTTTCTTATATTGGATGCCACATCCAACATGATTTATCAGTAGTTTGCCAGGTTTAATCTGGTTGATACCAGGGCTCTTAAGTTGCATTACATTCCCTGTGACAGGTTTCTTAGAGTTTAATCTGAAACCATATTCCAGGCATTGGTCAGAGCTAGCCCAATTTGGTAAGATTTGTTGTAGGACCAGAAGGCTGTTGAATCATCGAGAAACGACAACCCTCAGATCAATGCACGCACCGTTTCACTTACTAAATGTTGCTAAATTTCAAAATTGTTTGTGGATACGTGGATTTCCTTAACAGAACCATACTCTGTCATAGTAATACAAGGCATATTCAACAGATCCACAATAAAAGTTAGTTACAGTTGTATGAAGAGCATGCAGCAGATTATTCAGGGCCATGCAGCAGATTATTGAAAACATATATCAGTAAATACTCAAGATGAAAGTTGCAATTGAATATTTCCAAACAAGTGTCCTTTGGGAGGGGCATATTGTGTAACAAGCAACAGTCACTACAAAGAACAAAGTATGAAGTGTATAGGCCTTAGTGGTGGGCAATTCAAGTCAAGGTATAACAACCACACTTAATAATTTAGGGACAAAAAGTATGCAGTAGAAACTGAGTTATCTAAATACTTTTGGAGATTAAAATAAAATAATACTCGGTATGACATTAGGTGGGATGATATAAAAAATCAGCGACCAAAAGGAGAAACCAGCACCAATGCAACCTTTGCCTAGACGAAAGACTGCTTCATGTAATTATGTTAACGCCAGATACTCTAAATAACAGAACTGGAATTATGACCATGTGTCGTAAGAAGGTGATGTAGTTGCCACGGGGTGCGGTGTAAGTGTCGACACTCCTTGTAAATAATCGGTGAGAACACCATTTTTAAATAAACACTTCCTGGGTATGCCAGTGAAATTCAGCATTGGGGTTCTCACATCTCGTGCCTATTTATTTATTTATTATTTTTTTTTACTATTATTTTTTGTGTGTGTATTGATGCACCGCATAGTTGAGCACTCTGTTAACTACACGGAGAACTCTGTTAACTACACGCACTATATATATAGTTCCCTGCAGCGCAGATCACGCAAGATGGCAGTGTCAAAAGCGGGACAGTGCTGTGACGTAAGAGAAATGTGACTTCATAATATGAAAATGTCTCAAATAAAAATTTGCAGAATATAATGTTGTGATTCAAAGTGATCTCATAAAAACAACAGATATATATTGAATTATTATGGAAGAAACGTTGCATCGTGTCACCTAATATGGCGCATCCCAGACTACTTTTCCCGCTCTACCAGCTCACGTGATCAAGACGCGCCACATCATGGCACATATTACAACATACTTCCCCATTTTATTTTTAAGCAAGGAGACAGATAGTATACAATAGTATATTATAATAAGATCCTATAAAAAATAAGTCTCGTTGTATCTTATAATAAATCAATTCATAATAAAGGTGAGACTACTTAAAAGTTTTGGTTCACTTCCCAGTATATCTTAACTAATACTTGACCTAAATCAATCTGAACTGCAGGTTTACTCCTGTAAATAAGTTTGTCACTTTCATAACAATGGGCCCCTTTAACTTTTTTTCTAACCATTATCATTATTATCTTAAACAACCTTATACCTCAATAACCACTGATCTTAAGTGCTTTCATTAATAGCACAAAACGGCACTAGTGTATTAGTATTGACACTTCTTAATAAGGCAAATTTGTTAACTAACCAGGTTTCACTATAACACCTGTACATGCGAATATATGATTAAGACACAAAGTGTGTCAATACCCATCACTTCTAAATATACCTTTTCTTTTATAGTGGCTTTAATACCAAGTATAACAAGGTGCACCCATCCATTTATTGCAACTTCACATACAATCGTACCCAACCCTAAAACTAAATGTTACTTTGTTGTGAGTTCTGCTTTATTACATTCAAGATTCCCGCGTCAAGTCACATGGTACCTGG